TCGTTAAATTTGGACCACTGGGTGACGAGTTATGTAAGTGATTACAAAAACTACTTAAACGAAAATATCTTGTGACCTAGCATTTTTGATACCATTCGAATTTTCTCATCGAGAGGAATCGAATGACACCAAAATCGTTAAATTTGGACCACTGGGTGACGAGTTATGTAAGTGATTACAAAAACTACTTAAACGAAAATATCTTGTGACCTAGCATTTTTGATACCATTCGAATTTTCTCATCGAGAGGAATCGAATGACACCAAAATCGTTAAATTTGGACCACTGGGTGACGAGTTATGTAAGTGATTACAAAAACTACTTAAACGAAAATATCTTGTGACCCAGTGATCGAAACTCAACTATTTTGGTATCATTCGACCCGTCTAATTGAGACGAATCGAATGGTACCAAAATCGTTGAGTTTTGATCACTGGGTCACGACATATCATAAAATTTATCATTTTTTTCCAGGGTAGCAGATCTTTGCAGATCTGCATCATATTTATTTTCCCGATGTGGTACTGTTTATAATTCACCCATTCACATAGGTACAGGAAAAGGAAAAAAAGTACTAGTTTATATTATAAATCAGGTAGAGCTTGGATCTGACTATCCATTTGTTCATTTACCGGATAATTGTCAAAATTCAGATATCCGCCAAAATTATCCGACTAAATCCATTGATATGAACATAATAATTCTTTTTATGACAAAATACCAACTTCTTTTCTTGGAAAATCTTTTTTTTAATTGAATATTGTCCATTGAATATACACGACAGCATTATTATTTAAACGACTCATAGAAGTTTCTCTCGAGTAAATAATTTTCGCTACATTATTGCGTATTTTTGGAATTAGGCCCAAATTAAGAACCCCAAATTATTATTTGATTATCGTGATTATTAATAATTATTACGTATCAATCACATGACGCATTTATTAAAATGAACCCCAAATCTAATAAAACTAATATCGTTATCTCGTCAAACCCATCTCCCCACCTTAAAACTCATCTCTTTCTGTAAAATTCGGTTGATCTGTTTATGGTATTTATTTATTTATTGAAATTTTAACGTTAACATTAAGTAATTAGTACATGCCGATACATACATACTCTATTTTTAGTAACTTTAATGGCTATCATTTCGAAGTTCGAATGTAACGTATGTGGAAATTCATACAAAACAAATAGAGAACTAAAAGACATCTTAACATTGTTACAAAGTACAATGCTTCACGTTCTGACCTCGATACTTTACCTGAAAATACCATACAACAATTTAAAGCCATTTTAGTTCACTATATTCACAAACAATTACCAAAAGGATCTAAGCAATTAGGAAAACAATCAGTATCAGTTCCTGCTACAGAAAGTCAATTCTACGCAATATTTAAAAATTACATTCATTATTACTCTGCATTAAAAAGCAAATATAAATATATATTTCATAGAAATTCTTCAAATCAATTGCTAGCAAGTATTTTAGATACATAAGATTGGGGAATCAAATTTTATGAGCAACGACAATATACTTATATTGTGCTTTGTGATGATAAAGATACTATTGATGTTGAAAATCTTATTGTATAGGCAATTGCATGACAAGCAGCTTATAATAAGAAGTTTTATAAACCAAAATATAAACGGGGACAATTAATAGTAGAATAGAAAAAACAAAAAGCCACTGATATTAATGGTAATATTACTCAAGCAGGTCATATTTATTTTCATTTTTATATTAGTTAAGCTATAATTTAATTAAATTACATGCAGAGAATTATTTAATTTAAAATAAAAAAATAATTTAACTGTTTTAAGTTTTTATATGTATCTTTTGTAATCATTGATGATCTATTAAAATATTATTATAATAAAGTATTCTATTTTCATATTGCAGAATCTCCATAATTGCATTATTATCATGCATCATTTTATAAAAAAATATGATATTTGCTGATGATTTTTCTTTTCTACACTGCTGCATGAAAATGCTACTAATCCCCATTTTGATGAATTGTCATAAATTTAAAAATATGATAAGGGATGTGACAAAAATCAGGTGATTTTTTAGGGGGAGGGGGTAAAAAAAATTAAAATTATATATAAGAACTTGATTTTTTTTATATTAAGAGGGGGGAGGGGGTAAGTCTCTGATAAAAAATAATTAGGTGATAAATAACACTGCCCTAAACCAATATATGAATATATGGTGTCATATTAGCAGGTTAATATAAACCTCTTTTGAATCTTTGAGTATTTGGAGTTCCTTCAGATGGTAGTAAAAATAAGGCAAGTCATTTTTTTGCATAATATTGAAAGTTTTCTCCTTTTGTTTTGGGATTTTTTATTATTTTATAAAGTTCATAAAACTTATTCCATAATTCTCTTATAATGCTAGTACGATTTTTTGAGAAAATTTTTGATAAATCAAAGAAGCACAATACTTTAATCTTGTCTTCCCCCATTAAGAAGATATAGTTCCAATCCTTAGATTCTCAATTTTGCCAGAATTGAAAATTAACTTTAATTCTAATCATTTCTTCTACAATAATTTTCTGTGCAATATCATTAAACAAGTTATATTCAATTAATTCTGTTATCACAAGATTCCATAAGTGATCAGTAACTCTAAGCATAATATACAACTTATCAGGAATCCAACAATGAAGAGGTATCATATTAAAAAGTGGTATTTTTAAATATCCCTTATAGTAATTTAGATGTTCAACTAATATATCCATCCTTTTACAAATTTTCCATTCAAATGATAGATTTTCTTGTTGTGACTTATTGATTGTGCATCACAGACAAAAGTTTTGGCTATTAGCACTATTAAAACCTAAGCAAATTGCTAAAAATTTCTAGTCTGATGAAAAGTAAAACTGAAAGTTCTATTTAATATAATTAACTATTAATCTTTGGTTCTTTAAACTAATTAAATCATTACGAAATGAAGCTGTTATATTCATTAATATCTCATAGTTTTCAAACCCAGGATAAAGTACAATTGTGTAATGATAATCTGGTTGTTGTAATGTATCTTTATTATCTAAAATAGCCATTATTATCATTATGTGCTTTACTCGTCGTCCAACATTCCATCCATCCCCAGATATTTGAAGATTAACAATTGGTTAATACAAATTTAAAATTCTTTTTTGGACAAGATTTGAAATTAAATATTGCAAAATGTTTTTAATGCTTCTATAGCCACCTTTACCAATCATATTAACTACTTCTTGTATTACAGGCTCATCATTTATATCGGCTTCTTTAGCTTGACTAATTTGATTTTCAGTAATTATATCTATAATAGATATTGGTATAATCTGTGCCATTTTTTTATTTATTGCTTGATGTTCTTGATATATTAACCTTTCAGGTGGTAAATGTAATTCTATAGCACGTAAATCTTGATAAGAATTTCTTGAAATATTTCATTCATCAAATGTTTTAGCTATCAATTCAGTTTTTTGCTTTTTTTTTATCTTATCATTATCTTTGTAATTAATTTCATAAGTATGCTTCTTAACCGAATAACTTAAACTTTCCAATATTGGTATATCATCAGAATTATACAATTCTAAAACTTTATTATTAAATTCGGTTAATATTAACTTTCCAACATTAACAGCCCATTTTGTAAGATTAGAATTACTGCATTGATCAACTTGTTTTAATGCATTTGAATATCATTTTGATGTTCTTGTTTCATTTAATACTCTGAGATGAAGGCCAAATAAATATACTCCTGATGTTTTAGTTCCTTTTTCAGGTGTATATTTCTAAAACATAAATTCTTATTAATTTATACGTATAAATGTAAAATATTTCTTAAAATAGATATTAAATACGTACTTTATGAAATAAATTTGCAGCATCTGTAACTGTTTTAGTAGAAAACACTTCATATTCAAAGTATTTTCCAAAACATATTTGAAAAACTGGACCTTCTTTATTATAGTTAATAGAGCATCGAATAGTACATTGGTTATAATCATCAGGGATTTGATATTTTTTGGCAGAAAGGTATATGCTAATAAAGACTTATTGGGATATGTGCCTTCTTTGATAATTTTATATAAAAAACTACGATTTGGTTGTTTAAACTTGATAATTGAATCAAAAGGATAATTATGGATTTCTTGCGCATCGTCCATTGTAAAAAAGTTAAGTAATAAAATATCAATATCGATTAAATTATTTATATCGTATGAGTATATATTTCTTAAATATAGTTAATCATGGTCAAATCACTTAACTCATATTAACATAAGCGTCATACATGTGTCATAAATTTTAGGGTAGTGTAAAAATACGCAGTAATGATCCATTATTATAAAAAGCTGTAAAAAAAAATATTCCACGCTCAAGATATGAGTGCGTGAGAGTGAAAACCTGGAAACCGATCATAGTAAATCATTAAATCAGTTTCCAGTTTTCATTCTCACGCACTCATATATACTATTTTTATTAACAAGATATATGAAAAATTCTATAATCAAGATAAATGTTATATGTTACGTATATAATATGTTATTTATTTATATGCCACTATTAATACAGTATAATACATTGTTATTAATATTAATCGAGCATCGGATAGTTAAACAGATATCCGACTATCTGTAAATATATTATAGTTATCCGATACAACGAATATCCATCAGATAATCCAACGGATTTTTTGAACGGATCCAAGCACTAAAATCAGGTTAACAATGTTTACATAATATGAGTGCTGCCAAGGGAAAAAGGCCGTTCGGACTTTCAAGTATATTAGATTATAATATACTCGAAAGTCCGAACGGCCTTTTTCCCTTGGCAGCACTCATATGACATCTCAACCCGTAAGTATAAAAGAATTTTAAAACTGATATAAAAAACAATTATAAAAGCTAATACAGATATAAAAACTTGTAGAAAAAAAGAAAAAAAACCAATATAAAGGATAAAAATTTCTGAGAACTAGTATATGAACATTCCCTTAAGGTTATTTAATTCTAATAAACCTATATAATAAAGCACGAAAAACAAAGGTTGAATTTTGTTGTTTCTTCATTATGTGCATCCATTACAATTGCAGTTATAACCACGATACCATCCTGGATTAGATTTATCCTCCGTAAATTTGCAACCGCCGCAAGTCTTGAAGAATCTGCACCCACAGTCGCCTGAAATTATTTCAAAATTAATCAAACCAATTTTTAAAATAGTAATAGAGCTAAAATACTTACATGTATAATATGTACCACCTTTATGCTTCGAACATGTATTACACCTAGTTGAAAGTATATAGCAGTGAGTTAACTGTAGATAATACAGTATTTAAGCATTTACAGTTTTTTTTATTTACTTAAGTGCTAATACGGGTGAAGATACAAGGAGACAAACAAGGAACACAATCCAAATTGTAAATTGCTTCATTGAATTATTTCGTTTATTGCTAATTTGAATACTGCAAAGGTTGCTAATTTGAATACCGTGAAGCATTTATATAATTAAATATTTCGGTATTAAAGTTCACAAACGCAATATTTAGAACTTCATTTATTGAAAAATTTAACGCCATTTAAGCTTCACAAAATATATGATTTAGGACATCATTCACTGACTACACTTATCTTTAGATAACAGTCTTTCTAAGGCTTGTGAAATAGGCGTTTTGTATTAATATTTATAATTGATAATCGCGATATCTAAATCAACTCGAGCAATCTTGCATGATCTGGGATTCATTTCCCTTAAAAATGTACGTGTCTACATAGATACATAATAAATCTTTTATACGCGTAATGTTGCCAATCATTGAAATGCATATAAATGAAATGATAAATTAAGAAGGTCGTATTACTTAGCGTCCCTAATTAGATAAATTTCAATGTTATTTGAAAGTTTTCTGATCAAATAATGATAGGCCCAAATTACGTAGCACAGCTATCTCAACCTAAATTTTTTAACAAGCTTTTTAATGAAATATTTTAGGTTTTCTTTGTAATTCTGAGTAGCAATTTTAATTTATGTAGTTTAGAATAACTTGATGCCGATAGAATCTAATTTTTTAAAAAAATTTATCCTTTGTTGTTAGCATCTTCTTGAATTGAGATAGCCTTTCATTAGCCATTTAGGGAGGCATTTAACATAAAACCACTGCAATGCCATATCCATTTATGTCATGGGTGAAAATAAGGATTATTCACAGATTTGTATTTGTTTAGGTGCATTATACGAACTTTAACTCCACAGAACGAATGATTGATCGATCTTTATTTTCTAAAATGGATTCTCATTGAAAGTTAATTATTAATTTTTGATGCTTCTTGTTAGAATATTCTAAAATTATAAATTCTATACGTATGTATATATTGAGCCTAAAATTAGTTGCATCATCTGTTGTTCAGTAGGAGAATTATTTCCACAATTGTAAAAATAATTCCACAAATGTTAACAACGTCGAAATTGGTACGTACGTACGTACTCATTAACAATTTTAGTAATTCCACAATCTAAGCACCTTGCCATATTTATAAATTTTAATAATACTAAAATAGTTAATCAAAAATTAATTTTGTGCCTATAATTTCATGT